CCAAGTCCTTCTCTTAAGAGCTGGTCTCAAGATGTCTTGAGACCAGACCATCAGAGCATTCTCTGGTGTCTGGGGTTTTACAGTTTCCTTTGGTAGAGATAATCTTGCTCCCATGCAGGAAGTCCAACAAATGTCGAAACAACCTCAGTTACTGCTGGCTGAAGCCTTTGGGTAACTAAAGACCCATGTCAAAGCTCACTGAAGATGGGTGTGTTTCCATGCTTGGACAGGATAAAGGAAGGCTGAACACTGCTGAGGGTATTCTTGCATAAAATGTTGGGGGTGAGGGATGCACAAGTATTCTCTGTCTTCCTTCTTATCATCCTTTTCTTTGGTTCTGAAACTCATTTGTTCAAAGATTGTTTTCACTACCAATCAAACATAGGTGTGGGTTTTTTATTTTTCCTCTTTTTTGGTGGATTTAGTGAGTGGCTTGATGTACACCATGAGCACTGACAGTGGTGGGCCAGAGGAGATGGAAAGTGTGTGGCTGAGCAGAGCGGGGAATAGTGACTCTCCTGACTGCAGTGAGATGAACTCAACACCTACTATTTCCCACAAACTAGGGGACACCGCGCACCCATGTAATTGTTTCCTGTACAATTTGAATTGTGCAAAGCAAGCCTTTCCACGTGGTGTTCAGATTCTAACCTTGCAGCCTTTTTGCAGTAAAACAGCCATGCAGATATGTGTTCACTTAGCAAAGTATTTTGACCAAAAAAAATCAAATAGGATAGTTAATAAAATACATTTTAAAGGAGGAAAAGTTTTTTGTCAACTTGAACCTTAAGGATGAAATGAAAACCCAAAAGCCTCCATTGTGTTTTTCTGCTTGCTTCAGGAATTTACAAGGTGAAACTTGTAATTTCCCCATTGACCAAATTCATGAGTAAGTTTCTCAGCTTTTACTGTTCTTCAGATACAAAAAAAAAAAACCCCAAACCAGAAGAATTTTGATTCTCTTATGGTTTTTTTTCTGTTGCAAGTTAGGAAGAGTGAACTTTCAGCTTTTCTGAACTAGCTGAGTTAGTACTGAGATGTTTTTTGCCTGTAAGCTTACAAAGACAATCAATGCTGGAATTTCTGCTTTGCAGTCATGCCTGCTTTTCTCATTCTTTAAGAACTTCCCAGTATTGCTGGCACTCTTTTGTGTCCATAGCTGTAAAAATTCTACTAACTGACTATCTAGCCATTAAAACAGAGAAAGCCAAGTTTGAAGGGGCTCAATAAGCACAGGCCTGGAAAACAGGCTTAGACAATCCTGTACTGGAGCAATGAAAATATAGTTCTGAGCAGCCTGTCTTCAGTCCAGATGCAAATACAAAGGATACAGTACTCACTATATCATGAGAACAGAACCTTGCACAAGAGGCGTGTTCCTAGTCATTGATTCCATTTATTCCTGGGTGCAATTCAAAGAGGTAGTTTGCTCTATAAAGTGTGGTTTGTCATGCAGGATGATGTAATTCACACCATAGTTGGGAGAGAGACTAAGCGTGATGTCTCTAGGGAAGGATCTAAGCTATTCCGGTTTTGTACCCAGTGAAGAAGTGACTTATTGTCAAAATCCAACCTCATTTGTTCTCTATTTAATAATTTCCACTTTTTTTTTTCTTTTAGGATGGTGTCATCCTTTAATGTATGAGATTTTTCTTGCTATTCTTCTGTGTGGAGTTTATAGGAGCTGAAAAAGAGAGTCTAATTTTATCAAGCTTGTTGCCTTCAGCTTGTGAGTCCTGGCAGCCCCTTGCTTTTTCCATTTCCCCCTCCTGCTTCTCCAGAACTCAGTATTAAAACAGCTGTAGCATTAGGATCTACTTAAAAACCTTCTGAGAGTCCTGTGCATGTACACTTTACATTTTGGCTTGTTCAAATATCTTCTCAGTTACTTCTGATCACAGGGATTTTATAGTCCACCTTGAGGATTTCACAGAATCACAGAATTGCCTAGATTGGAAAAGACCTTTGAGATCATCAAGTTAAGATCATCATTTGCATCCATGTGAGGCTTGTGTGTGTGGGGTGTGCATCCTTACCTCTGCTTTCCTGCAGCACAGACTTCAGCTACAGACTCTGATCCTCACCATCGTTGCTTCCCCTCCCAATAAATTCCTTGGACTTGTATATTAAGTGATTAAAAAGTACACTTAGCTGTGAATCCATTCTTCTAGTTTAAACAAATGTTTAACTCTCTCTCTCTCTCTCTCTCTCTCTAGGCTCTGTTTTGGATATTATAAAGCACATTGTGGCCAAAGGAGAACATAAAACTGGTGTCCTGGATGAACCCTGTATAGCCACGATCCTTAAGGAGGTGCTGGAGGGGCTGGACTATCTGCATAAAAATGGACAAATCCACAGGTATTTTTCATTTTTCTTATCTTTGTCCCAAAATGTGTGTTGCTGAAACAGAGCTGCTGAGCACATGCAGTCTCATCCTGCAACCAGCTGTGAGGGCATGGAAGGAGGAAAATAAAGGCGAGAGTTTAATCAAAACTCAGAATTCAAATGTCTAGATAGTAGCTGCTGCTTTAGGAAATATTATGATTAGGCCAAGTTTGGATGAACTTCAGGTTATTGAAAGTTCTGATATAGAAAATCTCTTTCCACATGTCAACATCCAACTACACCAAAGTGTAGTTGTTGGAGCTGCAAAACTTCTGATGGTTTTGTTTCTTGCAGAGCTACAAATCACCAATAGCACTGCATGAAGAACTGTTGAGCCCTTCAAGCCCAGTTATTTATTTATTTGTTTATTTTTGTCAAGGCTAGCTGCAAGATCAACATAATGAAATTTGAATTTGGATAACTTGATTTAAAAAAAAAAAAGAAAGATGGAAACAAAATTAATGGAAAAACTTCTGTAGGCAAAGCCCAGCTAACTAATGGCCTGTGATTTGATGGATCACTGAAACATGGGGTTTTGTGCTGCTATGTCATTTGGGAGGTATTTTTAAATCATGTTTTCCTGTCCCCTGGTGTCAAGGTGTGGTTGTAGCTCAGGCAGGTAAGATACTATGTTCTGCTGTTAAAAAGAATGAGATTTGCAATCTTAAATATGAGCTGAAAATAGAATATACTGCTTGTGGGTAATATACATCGTCCCAGCCACAGGCTGCTGCTGGGAACAACAGCCTCTTCTTTATTGGGAATTTTGTAAGCTTGGCTGTCTTCAGGAACAATGCTGTTGTAAGCTCTGCTGCTGCTGTGCTGGAGTAAGTGTCTCTCCTCTTATGATAGCCACATAAGAAGAGGTAACTCTTTTTGCTAAAATGTTATTTTAATTAGAAAACCCAAGGAGTATTTATTTCATAATTTTGGTCAAACTGACTGGATTTGTAGGTTGGTTTGGCTTAAAAAGAAAGAAATGGTTGGAAAGAATTCTGGTGGAATTCTTTTCCCTGAAAGAAGTCTCAAATTTTGGTTTCCAGTACCTATTAAAATTATTGATTTGACAAGAATGGTTGTCTTCTTCATTGAAGGCAGTTTTAATTTCATAGCTGGTTGCTTAACTTAGTTTTTTAGAAATAAGACCTCAGGCAGCTCTGTGAAGTTAGAAGTAGTAGACCAGCTTACTCATGGAGTACCTGGTAATTTTTCACCCTTACCATAGGTAATTTACCAAACAGTGCTCATCTGTGACTTGCAGTTGATTTGCTTGACTGATTTAGTTAGTCTTCTGGTCTAATGAAATGAAAACATATATGTTGAAGCAGCAAAGATTTATTTAACCTGTTAAATATCAGTTTTTCTGAAGATTTCACATAGTGATTTCTATATTTGAGAGGTGATTCTCCATTTGACTTGCTGTAGTGAAACAGCAAAACTAGTAATTGGGATAAAGGTTATAGAGGATATATTCATGTGTTGCTTTTTTACTGCACTCAGCAAAAAGATGATGTTCCCAGAAAATTCAGACTGCTTGGTCTGAAGAAAATGTGATTCATATTGAATCATTCGGAATCAAACTGAACCAAACCTGCTACAACCGTTCTTGTCCTGCTTGTTTGAAGCATTTTTCAGGGGATTTCAGCAAAGAAATCAAAGCTGTCTCATTGCTGCAGCCTAAGCCTCTAGTGGAGGGTGTCCCTGCTGCTGGCAGGGGGGTTGGAACTGGATGATCTTTAAGGTCCCTTCCAACCCAAACCATTCTATGATTCTATGATAAGGTTGTGGTTCCGAGTCAGCTACTTTTCACGTGTTGTATCCCTGTGTTTTGGGGCTGCTCTGACAGTTGTGTAATGTTTTATCAGTAAAAAAGTGGTTTGATTACCTCATTGTGTTGGGACATGGTGGTCTGGGAAGTTGGAAGAAGTGGTAATAATCATGATACAGAAGGAAAGTTGTATAGTTTCCTACCTGTGTGATGCAAAGGATGGGGTTTTTAACTGTTGGCAGAAAACAACCTTGCACACCCTTGAGGGATGAAACATGTTTCCTTAGTGGAGTTAATTGTGCTGTCTTATATTTTATCTAGATGTGTGCACACGGCTGAGAAAAACACAGTGTAAAGTTGTGGTGCAGACAGGACCTTTCCTCATGCATAGGAATATCTGTATGGTTTTTCCATTTTGCTTAATTCAAGGGTTCATAATGTTGGTCATGCCTGATGAGAAAGGCAGGTGGAAATCTTGCACTTGTGCCAGAGATGCTCTGAGAGGAAGTGTTTAAAATAACTAAACTTTGGTCCCCTGGGTCAGCTTAAAGGATCTGGCTCTAAAGAAAACAGCATCAGGTGATGGCTGAACTGCTGAATATAGTGTCTGTGATGTGGGGCAGCTGCAGTTGGGGTGAACTTCAAGCCAAAGCAAGGTCAGCTGTGAAGGATCAAAACTGAAGGGCTTTGGTTAGACCCGGACCAACCAAACCAAAGCAAGCAGCCATCAAGCACAGCGTTCAGCTAGTTACACTAAATATCCCAACTCCATTTGTGTTACACCTAGGAGAAAACAACTCTATCGAGTTAGAGATGTGGAATGGGTGAAATGAATGTAATTAGCACATCTGAAGTTGGACAACTAGGCTGGTGGCAAAGCCCAAAGGATGAATATCTTAGAATTTTGAAATTTTATGGGTGCTGTTGACCTGAATGAAGCGGGGACAGCTTGTTACTGCTGTAAATCATCAGTGAGATCAGAGAATATATGTCTGACAGTGGAGCTGCTTGGTACTTTTAAATTATGCATCATCTGAAATGGGTAAATGAAGTTAAGACACGTGGAAGACTGGCTTAATGAAATTCTGCTGCTGCTGAATCTTACTCTGCATAAGCCTGCCTTGAACTTAATGCCACTTCCAATTAAGGTTTTGGGAGCTGGCTTCGTGTGGAAGTGTAAATCCCTGCTTTGGACAGGAGAGTAGTTTGACAGTATTCTCTAGAGGAGATTAGAAAGCCAAATATCTAGTGAAGGCTTAAATTATAATTTTTTTTTTTGTTTGTTTACTTTCCTAATTAACAGCCAGAGCGAGGCTGAGGCTTTAATAGATGCCATTGTTCAGCAACAAATGCTGAAGTCTCCCACATTGTCCAAAGTGATATTTTTTTTGCTTTCATCTTGCAAAGGCTGTTGGGAACATTGTCTGAGGCCTTATGGAAAAGACAAAGGAGAAGGGAGAATCAGTTTTATTTCCATGAAACCCTCTATACCAAGGTAACTATTACAAACAATCCCCATCTTCTCCAGAATCACCGCTGCCTCCTGTACCTCAGAGCTGGCAGCTCTCTGCCCTCGCCGCCGCGTGCCTGTCCCGTGCCAGCTCCTGCCGTCCCCGTTGCACTTTTCTGTGTAGCACCACGATCCCAATGACAATTGGAAATCCTAACGATCCGGCTCACGTTAAGTGGGTTAAATACCTGGGCACCAGCCAGCGTGCTGAGGACAGAGGGCCAGACTCAGAAACCTTCGGATGAAGTTGTCCTGTAGGAATCTGCTCGCACACATTTTTTTTTTTTGCAAGACTGACGTGCTACGAGGGGTCACTCCTGGGCTAATCTTGTCTGGGTGACACACAGGGTATGTCACACCTCTTCCCCATTTTGGACTCTTGATTCCTATGTGGATTTGGGGGACTAGCAGAGGTTTGACTTGGCTTGGTTTTGCTTTAGTTTTATTTCCAAGAGGTTTTATTGCTTAAAGGCGCTTGTTGGAGGGAAGTTCAAGGCTTTTTCAGGTGGTGCTCTTTATGGCAGTCTGACAAATGAATCATGCTGATTAACTGTTACAAGGTCTCTCTGTCTTTCTCCCTATTTTTATCTCTGAGCTTATCTTCTATTCATGATTAGCTGTTGTGTAACTGAATATTTCACTTGGTCCAGGTGAAACGATAACCTGCTCAAATAAAATCAGATTCTTCTATTGCAGCATAATAAATGTGATACTTGCATGTTTTTTTGTAAAAACAAAAAAACCTTAGGAAGTGGTTTAGGGTTGCATGCACTTGAAATACTGGCATGGCAGTAATCCAGCTATTAATTTGTTTGCTGCTTTACTTAGAGGGTGAGAGGTGCAACAGCACATTTGATATGCTGAGTTAAATCAGCTTGTGCCCCCATACAGAGTATTTTGGGGTTTGTTTTGGTTTCAAAAATCAGTTTTCTGAGTGTGGGGCAGCAGGGTGCCATGGCAGCAGTTTGAATGTTGCTTTAAAGAGACCCTGGAAACAATATTCTTGCTATGTTTTTATGCCAAATATATTACCTTATTTTTTAGACTTTAGGATGATTTTGTCATAGGATCAAGGTTTAATTGTCTGCCTCATCTACCTATATTAAGAAAAAACAATTTCTGAAAAAAGGATGCCTGGATGTGAGCACGTTCACATCACCAACACTTGTATGGGGGGTTCTGCAGTGAGCACTCCTCCAGTAGCAGGTTTCCGATTTAAGATGAAGGAGCTGATAGATATATCTTGGCAGAACTCAGATGTCCTACAGGATTCAAGCTTAATTTTCATATAGTTGATTAATGCAGTGATAGCTGTGCTGGCAGGTATTGTGGTTAAACTGGATTCCAGTATGTTTCTGATTATTTTGACGACTAAAATACTGTACTTTGTTTCCTGTTGCAGTACTGTAGGAGAATTTCCCAGCCCTCCTCTCCACAGTACTGTCATCTTATTTTGGGGAGTCTGTTTTGGAACTGAAGTTTGGGAGGGGAGGATTGAGGGATGGGTAACAGGATGTGGAGCCTTTCACCTTTAATTGCCAGTTTGGTTTTGAAGTCACTGGTGATTTGAAAGCTAGCTATTGCTTGGCCATGGGAAGGGGAATTTTATTTTCAGAGAAGTGGACTTTGGTCTCTTTTCCCTTATAGTATGGAATTGGCAGAAATAACTCTTAGAGGTAGCTGTTTATATAAATT